TATCATCATATGCACAGGCTGCTTACACATGAGCACCACACGAGTTGGGCATGTGTCCCGAGGAGGGACAGCAGAGCAGGTGAGCAGGGTCAGCCAAGAGCCCTGAAAAAAGGTGCCAGATCTCAGAAGTCACTCAGGAATGTGGTGGGAACAGTCCTGTCCCACATGACATGACCTCAAAGTCAGCTCTGATTACATAGTTCACTTCATACCCCTTTCTCCTCTCCCATATTCCTGCCTTTTACCAGCCTCATGTCCTCCCAAAGAAGCTATTCACACCTTCCATTACTAGTCCTGCTGCTGGCCCTGCCTTTGGTGACATCTCTCTCTGGTGTTAATTTATTAACTGGAAGAAGAGTTCAGAACTCCAAATGAATTTGCTATAATGTATATTCTTACTTACCAAACACCTTCATCATGTGTGTGATGCCTGGGGCCCTGCTAACCATCAGTCCTAGCTGACAGGTAGCAGGCCCCATGGTTATGCCTTTCCCTTGGTATTTGGAATGGCTGGCAGTTTCCCACATAGTAATGTGGGAAATTATGCTGGTAAATGCATATATGACCTAACCATTACTCTAATAGTAAGAATATTTTACAGTTCCTTGCACTGCTGTCTCATTAGTACAGCCACAGCGCAAGGGTAGGCCATTTATTCCCACAGCCTGATAGTCTGTAGCGTAGCAGATCAATGAAAAGTAGGGGAAATTTTTAGTTGTGTACTGCTTGCCCAGCCACCTTTCACTGCTGTGGGACTGCATGACAGGAAGAGTCTTGATTGACAAAGGGAAACTCATTTCACACCCAATGTAGCCACGTTCAAACATTTACTCACAAGACCTTGTACCCAAGGACGGTCCCTTTAAAATACTAAAGCCATCTAGTGGTAGGCTGCTTTATTTACAGACTGTGTGCATGCACAAAATAGCAATTTTCTAAAGCAGAATAGAACAAAATAGTTCTAAATGCTAGGAAAACATGCACACAGTAATTAAGAATGACATTGCATTCTACTGAGCACTAAAATAGTGGTGGTGATAGCACTACAGGACAGAGCGTGCTACAGTGCCTTAGGGACCTTGGGTTCCTGTTTGCTATTTGAGATTGACTCCTACATCAGAAAGCCTCCTCCCTCTCAGTGACAGTGACTGTGTCACTGTCTGTCTTCTAGGTAGAAAGGATAAAAAATAGATCCGCTGTTAAACTGATCATCTCCCAAATTTGCAGTAATTTTGATTAATAGGTCTTTGAAACAAATTTCTTGACTGAAAAAAAGACATCTATAAATAAGCACAAAGCTAGCAATCTTATTAAAGCACTAAATCTAGCTACTAAACCTGAAACTTGTTTGTATGAAAGTTTAATGAACATGGCTAAGGTTAATTTAAAATACTTTGAAATATTTTAGTAATTCACAGAGAGTATATCCAAAGTTTGATTTTACTTTGATTGTGCCACCTTAAGAGACCTTAAAAATTCTGCTATGAGTTGTGTAAGTAGCCTGGATAGTAACAAAGTTGAGAACTGTGTGGAAGTTCCTACTGTTAAAGCCACCATGACACACTGGCTGAATCCTGGTACTGCTGCTTGGATTCCCACCAAGAACTGAGGTTGTGATAGGCAGTCAACTGTGCTCAAAATCCCCAAGACTAACTAGACATATTCCAAGTGTTTAACATCAGTGCAAAAGACAAGTACCTTGTATTCCACTTTGTTATACATAACAGTTTCAGGTAAAGTAGAACAGGAGTCACCATATATCACTGAAAACAGCATGCTAACAAGCAATACTGACACGAATAGTTAAGTGTAAGATCTTTTTTATTGGTTGAGGCCATTTTCAAGATCCAAAATACCACCTTCTGTTCAATAAATTTGTATCAAAGCAACTGTAATTAAAAATCTTTATAGTAAAACCCCACCAAATTACTTCAGTAAAGTATCCTATAACCTCTTCTAATAACAAAAGGATTCTTACAAAACTTCTGTTTCTGACGTATCTAATCCTCCAAGAGAATACTCCTCATGGATACAAAAGGGTTAGATATATACAGTGAGCAAGACATCCACAGAAGTATTCTCCTTGCTCAATAAATACATTTGCAAAGAAAATACTCTTCACTGGCAATACTTAGCACATGTAACAGCATCTTTTTGATATATTTGTGGAAAATAAATGCAACTGTTACCATGCTGTCAGGTACCGTTGTCCCCCCTGAAGCAATAAATATATGCTACGAAAAATCAAGTGTTCCTCCCAGTACCAAATGGGAAGTAGTCAGGGAATTCATGAATAATTTTTAGTGCTTCATTGTAGAGTTCCAGATCTGAAAGAGGGCAAAGAAAACAGTTATGATGCATAAGCTAAATTCCCCGGAAGTCAATGACATCATAAAGGATTGCTTATTTTAAAGCAGCATAGCTGAGTGATCTCAGTCTCCCTCAACTTCCCATTTTCCCCAAGGCAGCAACACTTATTGCTTGTTTTCTGGAGGGTTATTTTTAGGCCCAGTGGCTGCACAATAATCACACTAAGTTCAGGCCAAAGTGAGAACTGCACTGTCAGGAGCGGGGGAACAATCAGAGCATGGCAGTGATCAAGACTGGCTTCGGCTTTGAGCAACTCCCTACATTGTGACAATAAACCTCTACATTTGGTACAGAACTTTTCTTGTGACACTCCTTTTCTACAGCTTGCTCCATATCTGGCAGCCTGAAGAAAGACCTTGTCTGTAAGAAAAGGTAATCAGGCTTTGCCTTCTTATTTACTGAAGAAGAGTTCAGAACTCAAAATGAATATTATAATGTATATTCTTACTTACCAAATGGACTTTTATCTTCTCTGAACTGGACGTATGACACACACATGATGGTTGCCTGATTTGTTACTCTTCCCACTACTTCAATAATTCCCGAGATCTCCTCATCTAGCTAGAAAACACACCAAAGATGAACTTAGCAACACTAAATTAGCTGCTATCTCTACTTAAGAGCACAGCATGTAAGCTAGGAAGTCTCCACAACTGATGGTTTGTTTGTGACAGGTTCTGGTTGATGCCTAACAATACAGTACTGCTGGATGGCCCTGTTGCTTTTCCCCAAAAAACCCACAAAAGCCTTGACCCATTTAGAGATTTACCAGTTTTGTAATAGCCACTTCAGTACCAGAAAAAAAAAAAAACAAACACATGAAGAAGCATCAGAAGGAAGATACTAGTTTATAAGTATATGAAACTGTATCATTTAAACACTGAACAGAGAGTAATCTAGGACACAGAGAGCAGAAGAATCCAGATTTGAATGCACTGCATTAAAACCTGAGTCAATTATAGAACTCTGTAAGAGCTAAGGAGTATCACACATGCCAGAGAGCAGTTCTAGTGTTCCAGATTCAGGAGATATATCTGGAAATTATTTCTTAAGTAATCTATCAGTAAGTGTTCAGAACACAAAAGACCCTAGCGAGCCTTTGGTTGAACATGGGAATAAAAGGCTATTTACTTGCAGTTGGAAGTTAAAGTCAGCTAGCTTCACATTTATAAGACAAAAATGTGTCAGATCAAAATGCGTTTTTCATCAGCAAAGAGAGAATCCTATCTTGAAAGTCTAAGAGGACCATATGCAATTACTTCACATGAAAATGGCAAGATTTCTCAACATTTAACAACTCATTCAGAGAAGAAGATGTAAATATACACATGCTCTCAGACAAGCTAGACCATTTGCCATCACAACAAAAATAATCCTTTAATTACAACATTTGCTAGAGAAAAAAAATGTACTTCGAGAGAGAAGAGAGTGTCAGGATGTTATTCCTTCAGTAGTATGTGAAAACAAAGGAACAGTATTTTTGTTCAGTAGTTCTCATTATATCCTATACCCATTGCATTAATTGCTTGGTGGTTTGGTTTTTTGGTGGGTTTTGGGTTGGTTTTTTTTGCTAAGAAAGAATGCTTCAAGCTAACTGAAGTTTACTGGAATGCTATGACAACTGTTTTAAGATGATGCAGTAATGTCAACTCAAAATATTCTTGACAATATCACATTCTTGGGTCTTTTTAATTATAAAAACAATATGAAAATGGGAGGAAAAAGTGAAACTACAATAAAGCTAATACATGTAGTGGAATACACATTATACTGTAAACAACTAATAGACTAAGATAAAATAGCCAGACAGGGATGTGTCTGACAAGGAATGAGTTCTGTCTCTTAACACCAGTTGAAAATTAATGAAGACCAAGGCAGTTCATGGGTAAGACTGCAAGCTAGCTGAAAGATACAAGAGCAGAGGCAATGAAACACAGGTGGAAATGGAATCAGAGATATTTTTTTCCTGACTAAAAACTCAACACATGGAAGGCATGCACAGGTTTCAGAAAAGACAAAACCTCCGTTGTCCACATGAAGTACTTCGAAAGCATTCCTTAACTTACAGGTTCGCTCAGCTCCACGGTCGTATGTTTCCCTACTCCATCCGAAAGCACGAAAAGCTTTCCAGTAGGATGAATCTACAAAAGAAAGACATCCCAGGAGGATGAATCTACAGAAGAACATTAAAACCTATAGAAGACATTAGGCCTGTGCGCTCTCAAGGCAGCTGGAAGCCACAGGGCAGCGGGACCTTCCCCCGCGGATCCACCCGCCCCCCGCCCTACTCCGGGCCAGACGCCGGACCCTCGGCGCAGAGCCCCAGCCCTGCCAAGGGCGGCAGGGCAGCCACATCCCCGCCCCGACACCCCGCCGGCCGCGCCGCGGACCTTCTCGACGCGGCCCACGAAGCAGACGGGCTTCCCGATGTGCTGCGCCAGCTGCCCGGTGGCGATGCGCGGCCGCGGCACCTCGTGGATATCGCCCATCGCCGGCGCCGCTTCCCGCCTTCCGCGGAGGGAGGGACCGGGACACCGGGAACGGGGAGGGACTTCCCTTGCCCGAGGCGACCCGGAAGCGGAGGCGGAGGTCGGTGAGCGGCGGCGGCGGGCGGGGGTGGCCGGGCGGGTATCGGTGGTGTCGGTGCTGCCGCGACAGGGAGGGCGGCAGGGGCCGAGCCCCGGGGAGCCAGAGAACCCGGCCGTCCGCTTCTACCCCTGTCCTGGCATTTAATCCTTGTAAATCAGCCCATATTGCCCCTCCCCGCCGTTTTCCCTCTCCCTTTAGATGCTGGCACCCCTCTGGGGTAAGTCAGCACCGTGGACTCGTAGCCAAGAGGGCGAAAGGCATCCTCGGCTACATCAGGCACAAATACATGTGACTGTCCCGCTGTATACAGCGTTGGGGTGGCCTCAGTTGGAGTGTTGTGTAGTTACGGGCACTGCAGCTGCAATCAGAGGAGGGAGTCAAAGCTGGGGAAAGGAATGTCCTGTGAGGAACAGCTAAAGAGTTTGGGTTTCTGTAGTTCGGAGAAAAGAAGGCTCATTGCTCTCGTTGCTGTCTACAGCTTCCTCCGGAGGGGATGTCGAGAGAGGGATGCTCATCTCATCTCATCTCATCTCCCTGATGTCCAGTAGCTGTCTCAGTAGCTGTCTCAGGATCGCAGAATGGTTTGGATTGGAAGGGACTTTAAAGATCATCTAGTTCCAATCGCCTTGCTGTGGGCAGGGACACCTTCCACTAGACCAGGCTGCTCAGAGCTATGGATATGTGGGAATGATTCAAAGCTGCACCAGGAGAGGTTTAGACGGGACGTTAGGAAGCATTTCTTTACCAAGAAGGTGGTCCAAGACTGGAACAGGCTTCCTGGAGAGGTGGTCAATGCCCTGAGCCTATCAGTGCTTAAGAGGCATTTGGACAATTCCCTTAATAACATGCATTAGCTTTTGATCCTCCCTGATCTGGTCAGGCAATTGGACCAGATGATCGTTGTAGGTCCCTTCCAACTGAGCTATTCTGTTAATTTCATTTTGTTTCACCATTAAAGAGCTTATGCTCAATCCCCAGGGTTAGAGCAATTGATGTAAGACAGAGCTGGCATCTGGATGTGGCACTTGCCACACATCTTGCCTTTTTACATATGTTTTCCCTGTCTGTCCCTTGTCTGGAGAGGTTCCTTCCAATTGGTCTTGGGGCAAAGGTGACTATGATATCCTGGTCTGCATTTGATGTAGTGTTGCCAGCAGGTAGGGGGAGCTGCTACTTTCCCTCTACTCAGCACTGGTGGGGCCATGCCTGGAGTGCTGGGTACAAGAGGGCATGTGGACATACTGGAGTGAGGCCAAAGAAGGGTCACAGCGGTGGTTAAGGGACTGGAGCACCTTACATATGAGGAAAGACTGAGAGAGCCGGGACTGTTTAGCTTAGAGAAGAGAAGGCTCAGGGGGCTCTTATTAATGAATATAAATACCTGAAAGGAGGGTGCAAAGAGGATGGAGCCAAGCTCTCTTCAGTCATGCCCAGTGACAGGACCAGAGGCAATGGGCACAAAGTGAAACACAGGAGGTTCCACCTGAACATCAGGGAACACTTTTGTCACTGTCAGAGTGACTAAGCACTGGTACAGGTTGCCCAGAGAGGTTGTGGGCTTTCCATCCTTGGAGATAGTCAAAAGCCATCTGGACATGATCCTGAGCAATCAGCCCTAAGAGGGCTCTACTTTAGCAGAGGGTTGGACAAGGTGGCTTCTGGAGGTCCCTCCCAACTCCAGCCATTCTATGGTTCTGTGATTTTCTTTCCATTTCCAGGACTGGTGTTTCAGGAAATACTTGGGAAAATAACTCTGCTCTGGCTTCAAAGGGCAGTCACAGCACCACTCATGTGCCGACTGTCTCTTCTAACCAGCCACAGGTCAGTTCATATTGCTAACCAGTGCAAAATGGGTTTTGTTATTTGGCTGGGTTAGTGTTGTTATATGGCAGTAGCTTGGGTCAGCTTGCCAGGGAAACAAGTTACTGCCAGAAGCTGTGCAGAACCAGCATGTGACTGGGGAGTGCTCAGAGTTATATCTTTGATGAAATTTAGCTGGTTGTTATCTCCTCAGTGTCACTATGCCATTCACCTTTTCAGTGTTTCATCCTTGCAAGAGAATATCCTCAACTCCTTAGCATATCTTCAGAGACTTGAGAGGAGAGATCTTATAAATGTAGCTGTTGGAGCAAGATGCAGCAGACTGCTGCGCAGTGGCTCTTCTAGGGCTGAAGGATTTGAGGGGTCAGCTGCTAGAAAAATGCTGTACAAGATCTTACTAATTTGTATCATATTTAGCAGTTGTTGAAGGTTTGCAGTCAAAAGAGAACTGTTTGTAGGGAAAGAAGTAGGTTTCAGCCTAGCTTTCTCTTTTAGCATTTTCTGTGAGGGGTTTGAATGTTTCCATCAGTCTTAATAGTGATTTACTTAATACCTAATAGTCCTGGCTTTGCCTTTGTCACCTATGCTTTTATTGTCTGACTTGATTGTGGCTGATTTTTTATGATTCAACCTCTTCAAGTGTTTTATACTATGGTAATTTGGATTGCATAGTTCTTAGCATTTCTGCTTTCCTTATATGTTAAAAAACTTTAAAAATAAATATTAACATTTTATGTAGTACAAAAAAATTGTTAATGTTTTGTTACATGTAAATCCATTTTTTTTGGTATTTGTGTTTCCATTCTTCTGTTTTCAAGAAATACGAATTAAAGGATTATGACTAATGTTAATACCAGAGAAAAGAAATTATATGTGGGGTTTTTTTTTATTCTTCACATAGTAATTTATATTAGACCAAAAGCTTTTAAACTGTTCTTTTGGTGTCAAAAAGAGAGAAATCTTTTCAACATGCATGTTCTTGACTCTTAAATTTGTTGTTTTCATGATAAGCAGGACTGTGCAGGGCTGTAAACATCTTGCTCTTTTTCTGATTGCTGCTTTATTGGTGAATCACAGCAGATGGTAATATGGAAGTGAGAATTGCTCTGATGTTCTGTTTTCTTCTTCTATAGATTATATAGCTTAAGCCGCTAGATGTGAAATTATTCTGGTTCTTTCTTTAAGGTCAGTTTTGTATCTTGTTCTGTCCTCATTTCATCATTTATGTAATTAGTGACAGTGCCAGTGCAGTTCTGCTTTGCTGTAGTCCTGGGCATCCTCTCTTTATCTTAGTCTGCATCTTTGGTGTTTTTAATATTAAATTACGATTCTCCTCTAGTATTGTGAAAATTCAGGAAAGGCTGAAAAGTAATGTTAAATATACTAGGATCTTCATTGCATTGAAAAATTTTATTGGATTTAATGTATTGGTTTGGCTCAAAGGTCACCCATAGTTCTTGTCAAAGGAGACTGACAAAATGCAGGAGGAATAAATTAACCCCTTTGTGCAAGTCTGGCAAGTCTGTAACTCATCTTTGTCCAGTGCCACGTATGTTCTCAGAGCCTCACAGAAAGACAAAATATTTTTTGCCGCCTCACAGAATTGCGATAGTTCACAGCTTATTACTTGCTAATGACTGAAGCCAAAAGCATTATTCTTAGCTATCAGTGATTGTGTTCACTTTTTTTTTTTTTTTTTTTTTTTTTTTTTTTTTTTTTTTTTTTTTTTTTTTTTTTTTTTTTTTTTTTCTGTGAGGGGGAAACATGAGTAGAAGGGAATAATATATTCCTACCAAGGGAGATTTTTATCTTTAGGCAGTGAATTCAATTTCAGGTCTCCTATAGAAATAAGATTAATCCCATCTGGAAGGGAAAAGTGCTATGCTATATAGGAGAAATGACTGCAGGAATGTAGTACTATCTCTGAATGGTGGGTGTATTTTCTGTGATTTTGTGCTGACAGCTTTTAAAAACGCTCTGCAACTAAGTGCTTTTTTTCCCCCAAGTCTGTGTGACCATGCATCCAGGTCCTCAGACTTCAAATTTAATTTTTACTCTGAAATGAAACTTGTATGGAAACTGGTAGTTTTGAGCTTTCATTACGTGAAATCTCATCTTATCTACAAGTAGTAAAACTCCAGTCTGATTCTGCAAGCGCTTAAACTGTGTTCTTATCTTCAAGAGCACGAGTGTTTCCATTCAGCTCTGTGTTTCTTTGTTGGACAGGGGCTTTGTTCTGTTTTAACATGTGATTCAAGATATTTAGTGGTTGCATTTCCTGTTGCTGGAGAGATTTATGTTTACTTCTGAAGTACCACAGTTGATAAAATTCTTAAAAGAGCAAATATGGCAAATGTCTTAGCATTGCTTGTCCACAGCTTTTCCTTTACCTACACTGTACCATATGCAGCTCTAATTTTTGTTTCTGGGCCCCCCTTCTATTTTGTTAGTAATTCTTTGTTATTTAGTTTATTTGTAATGCTTAATATTGTGTACAGTGAAGCTGCTGAAATGCTGGAAGGGGTAGTTGATGAGCTCTTTCCTCCACATGCGTTACACAGACCTGAGATCTACAAGCACAACTTTTGTTTTTAAGAGGTGAACACCTCGAGAAAGAAACAGCTTCACGTTAGTCTTTTTAATATGTGGATTCAGTACCTCCTCCCCACATTCACAATCACAAAATACAACATGTGCCATTTTCTTAGTGCTGGGCCAGTGGTTTTAACAGCGTAAGGACTTGAGGCCTGAGCTTAGGGAGTACTTTTGTTAGCTTTGTTTGGTTTTCTGCTTCAGGCAAAAGTATGTGTGGGTTTTGGTTTTCATTTGGTTTGGTGTTTTGTTTTGTTTTGTTTTTTGTTAGACAAATACTGATGGCAGTGGAATTAAGTTAAAGCTACTTCAGAAACTGAAAATTACAAAGTAAAGATCAACTCTCACATATAAGGTGAATTTAATGGGGTTCAGAAAAAATTGGGATACTCAGTCTGTCTCCTGTAAATGAAAGGATAAAATCTAGTATGTGAAAGTGCTTGTAACGTTAATTTGGTTAGATCAAATTGTTCTGATTGCTAATTTACTGAGAATTTAAATGGGTATTGTCTTTTGAGCAGTGAAGTTTGGGTAAGCTAAGTATGCAGGATTTAAAAGACTGCAAGTGCACGGTTCCCTATACAAGTCTTTTGTGCCATGTATATACTGATTAAGATGCTTTTCTTTGTGCAAGAAAGAAGGGAAGGGGGACATTATGTGGCAGAGCTGAACACTGTACACTAATCCAGATCTCAAAAGAGAATAAAAAGGTGATTGGAGCAACTGCAGCTCTGGCACCTGTAGTGGCTCGCTGGAATCTGAGCCATTACCAAAGCTATCTGTAAGATTTTACACATCTAGTTGATTTTACTTCTTGTTGTTGAATACTTAGAATGAAGGTAAAATTGCATTTTAAACTGTTCCACAAGTGCCTCTCCTTCATACATCATTGGAGCAGAAACCTGACTCTTGAGCATTACAGCTCAGGTTTTTACCACTTGAGCTATGGGACTGACAACCCTAATTGGTAGCAGGAGAAGACTTATTCCCTGAGGGCTGAAAAAGGAATATGCTGCTGGCGCCATGTGTTGAGCCTGGGTGTGGGGGAAGGTAAGGAATAAATGAGATAATTAGGAGTTTCTACTTTGTAATCTCCATGGAACTGGAAATATCAGTATTTTACTTGCTGAGGTAGGAAAACAAGCAAAAGGGAATGAAGTGAAGTAACATTTTTTAAAAAAATTACTGTATACCTGGGATTGGATCACAGAATGGTTTGTTCTGTTCTTATGTACATCAGCGTAGTTCATTTGGTTGCTAGACACTGCACTGTGTCAGCATAAGCAAGCAGTTGCTGGCCAGGCTGTGGGGTATTCAGCCTGCAAGTCTCAGGTATCAGGCCACAGTCTGAATTGTTGCTGCTTTTACCATGATCTATTTATACACTGCTCCTGAAAGCCAGTGCTTACACTTCATATAGGACTTTATAGAGTATGGAAGTATTTGCCATTGATTGAAACAGCAGAGTTTGAGGTAGTTTAAATGTGCTGATTGTGCAGTTAATTGCTACAGGTCACTGGCTAGGGCAAAAAAAGTCTTATTTATGGTACCATGAATATTTGGGTGGGGAGTGAAGAATTCAAGCAAATAATTAATCCAGGATTTTTATCGTTCTTTCTTTTATTTATTTTTTTAAAAATCCACACACTTCACAGTAGCACTTTTCTCTCTTTCCCACCTTCTAAAGATTCTTCTTTGTTACATTTAGTGTGAAATTATGTTACTGAAACTTGACATTGTATGCCTCTTTAATTCTTTTCCTTGGACTCCTTCCCACTGTTGGAGGTGTATATTAGATGTTGCTATTCGTTTGTCAGTACCTTCTCCTTAGCATGTTGATGTCTGCAAAATAAATCAGGATTCTGCTCCTCAAACTCTACTTGAAAGCTGAAATGACATTGTTCCACTTTTCCCCATTTTATATGGGTATATTAGTAGCAAAGATCTTCACATGCCTTTATTTAAAACTCCTTCTTTGTGTCGAGCACATCATGTGTTTCAGCCAGACCACAGGCTGCTCCATAGTTGTTGTTGTCCAGGGGTTTGAGTTCAGCCCTCGGGGGCTGGAGTCAAGCTCACCTCCACGCAACCTTCATGGGTTTTTAATATTAATTTGTCACTTTTAAGCTACTCAGAATTACTTCTATGTAGTCTTCCAGGCTTGAGAGAGAGGATATACTTAGAATTTTCTTTTGCAAGTCTGTGTTTTTATCCCAGTGTGTTCCTTGTTTTGTTCTAGCAATGGAGCTCTTAGCTGCTTTGGAGGATTCTTTTAATTAATTAGTGTTGAAAAAAATTAGCAAAAAATTATTTTGTTGCAATTTCTTTTTAGGGAATCAGTGGTAACTGTAATCTAATATACACAACTGTTAGGCTGTCTTTAAGACTGCAAGTGAGGAAAATGAAAGTAGTTACTATGCTAATATTGTAGGGGTGGGTGGTTGCTCTTTTTAATTGATGCACAGACTGAAAATATCTAGTGCAATTTGCTTCATTCAAGTATTCCTGCATTATAAAGTTGCATTTTCTACAATATCATGTTTTGGGCTTAAAATTTCAGATGCTTTAGAACTATCTCTGATGAGAAAGTTTGTGTAACAACAATTAAAAATGGAAGGAAAATATGGAAACATGCTGGATGAATGCTGAAGGGGGTTTCCTTCTTCCATTTTCCTTTAGTAAGGTCAAAGTTGTGGGGTTTTTTAATGATTCCATTCCACTCATAATTTTATAGAAAAGCCTTTTTACTTCACTCTCTTCTTGCCTATTGGTAAATTGCTACATCAACAAGGTGATCTGTCTGACATACAAATACCTGATATTTCAAATCCGATAATAAAGATTAAGCTGATATATCAGGTATGTGGCCTTTGGAATGGTATGAACTTCTTATGATTAATTCTGTTATATTTATTTAACATATTTTGTCTTCATTTAGGTAGCATCTTAGATAGAAGACAAAAAAAAAACCCCAAGAGACTATGTTCAGCTTCTTCCGAAAAAGTCAAGAATCAAAGAAGGTTACAGTGCCAGAGAGAGAAGCAGATGGATTTGTTATTGTGGGTAAGTGGTGCTTCTGTCTAAAATGATTCTTTCTCCTTTAAAATGTCAAAGTTTCTCTGAGATGCTCAGACCAAATGAAATGTTAAGAGAAGCCGTGATAAAAACTGTTCAGTATTCTTACTTTTCCTGAAGAAGTTAATTTTCCTAGTCTCCTCATTTGGACTAAACAGCTGAAGTTTTATTTACATAGATCTGAACTATGTTCAAGAGCACTGAAAATGTTGTTTCCTATTTTCCTCTCATACTCTGAGCAAGGAGAATTTATGTCCTCACAAAACAAGAAAAGTTAAAGTTTAGGATTCCAGCTTTATGATTAGAGTTGTGGCAAGAGAGTATCTTACTGCAGTTATTAAAGGACTGGCTTTTTTCAGGTTCCTTCCATTTCATTTTACACTCAGACTTTCTATACTGGAAGCCAAGAATCTGGGAATTTCTGGTCATGGGAAATATAGATGTTCTGTCTCAGAATCTGACTCTTAGTTTGATAAAAATTAAGCAGTTTAGAGTTTTCAAAGTTGTCTTGTTATTCAAAAACTTATCTGAACTGTAGTCTCCTGTGAATTAACTAAATTTGCAGCTTTGATCAAGCTCTTTCACAGTTTTGCAGGATGGTTCAAGCAATAAAAAGTTCATTGCTGTCATGCTGAAACTGATCCTTTTCTTTTTCCTCTTTTGAAAATATGTTTTCCTCTTTGGGAATCTGTCATCATCAATATTCAACTTCCGCAGCTCTGATTTACTGACTTATTCTTGTCAGGAATCTTACAGTGTTTCTCTGTTTAAGTGTTACTTCTTGAGCATTTTCAAGTTACAAAACCCTCTAGATTATCAAAGTCCAACAATATGAGAGACAATTGGAACTCTTCCTGAGGAGAACCGAGATTTTTTTGTAATAGGTCTCCATTAAAACAATTCTGTTTTCATATCTGTGACTGTGTTGTCATTCTTAATGGCTTGTACTAGATTTTGTTCATCTGCACTGGTTTTGATGGCTACATCAAGTCACTCCAACACTTGCATCACGTAAGGGTGAAAGGAGTCACATTGTTGTCCCCCAAAAGTCCTGAGACCATTTTAGCATTTCAGTTTCTGTGACAGGCAGAGTTCTGCACCCTAATGTTTCTGTGTCCCACAATTGCTGGTTCTGATTCTGTATTCAATTTAGCTTCATTCCTTTTTCCAGAAATGCTGTCAGTGACTATTTAAACTTTGTTCACAAAATTCACATTAAATTAATCTGTTTAATATAAACTTAAGAATGATCAATTTTGCTTGAGTCTTCTCTTATTTTTTTCTATTAATTATTATTTTTAACTTCAGACAGAAGTTAATTTAGCAATCTGCAATCAAATAGACTGTAAGTTTCATCCTGACTAACTTTTACTGGGCAAAAGAGCTGCCATCAAGCTTATCAGTGGAACATATCACTGTCTTGCAAGATGGATGTACCTGCAGAATTGTGGGTCAGCACTTAAGCAGATACTTATCTAGAAGGGGCGTTTTTGTCTACGAATGGTGTCAGTGGGAAAAAAAAAACCCAAACCACATCACTTAGCTATTCTGTTAGTTACTTCTTTATTACTCAGAGGGAATGTTCTGAAGCCTTTTCAAACTTTGGTGTCAAATATTCCAGAATACTAACACTAAATATCTTTAACACATCTCAGCAGGATATTTATAGGACCAGTACTGTGAACACTACTGTGGGCAGTGAGCACTCTTGAAGGGAGCGAGAATTTTATGTCTTACATTTTAAGTCAGTTCCTAAACCCAGTATTTCATTACGTTTAAGAAATTATATGAACCTTTTTAACATATAAGAGCAAGAAGCCTAGTTCACTGATATTCTGTGGACATGGGAGGAAGTGCTTTGCCTTCTTCCTGGAGAAAGAAGAGGAAAAATATATCCTGAGGGGACACCTGCTTCTGATTCCCACTGTTGTGGTCAGGAGAGCTTGTCTATGACAAATCCCTTGCAAGATCCTTCACATCATGCACTGCTGATAAGAGCATCCAGGAGTCTTACTGCAAGTTTAAATGGGACTGATCAAGAAAGAATAAAATGCCTTTTTCATTCAAGCATGAATGAAGTCTATTCTCTAATGAATGTAGTGAGACTACTGATCATCAAAATTAAATGTAGATGATTGTGTGATTTACCTAACAATATTTAATTATTTTAATCTTTTTGCATAATTTGATATTTGAAAAAGAAGGACGTAAGTTCAATGCTTTACTGAGAAAGATCCACCAGAGCCATTGCCCTGTCAAATCCTGAAGATCTGCAGTTTTTTTCTTTTTTTTATCATAACTTCTCCATGTCTTGTTATATAGTGCTATATTTTAAATCTACTTTTACTTGTAAACTATCAATGCAATTGGAAATTCAATACCTGACTAGAAAGATGAGTCATAAAAACAGCGTAAGCAACAAAACCAACTTTACAGTGTAGTAGCTGAAAGAAATTCTCAATTTTAGCTTTTGGGGCAAATATTGCATGTGAGGGAGTCAAGAAAAAAATCATTCATAATTCTCTCTCTACCAAATAAATGTAAAATATAATTTTCTACCAGGGATTAAAGCATTTTTATGTCTAACTACCAATTCACTTATTTTCTGGTTATTGGTCATCTCATCTCTTCATGAAGCTGTAAAAGTGGTGCTTGTTCTGTAACAAGCAGAACTATTATTCTGAAACAGAAAAGAGGCTCATGAAATAGGCAAAACACATGCAGTTGTTTTTGATCAAGTGGAGATATATGAAAAAATATTTCAGAGGTTTTCCTGATCATCATAAATTGTTTTTATGTTAACATTCTGAATGCCAGAATTAAGAAAACAAGTAATTTTTCAGTTAGTTTGGGCATCTTGGGGAGTAGTATTTCTTAAAGAATTTCTCAAGTTTTGTGGCTTTTGTAATATAAATTTCAACCTACCATTCATTCTTACTGTTGCTAGCCACAGAGAAAAATATGTATTTAATGCTAGCTTTTGGGTTTGGCACATGCTAAAAATCTCCCATCAATCTCAAAGATCCACAGGACTGGTAGTCCAAATTGCAGTCTAAGTTCAGGAACTGAAAAACTGAGACAGCAGTGCTGCTTCCCACGTGTGTTTGGCAAGATGGTCAGAAACTCTGCAAACATCCCCGTGGTGCTGATGGTTCCACAGGGGTGGGTGGTGAGTGGTTTTTGCTTGAAGCAATGGAAAGATCATAGAATCATAGAACGGTTTGGGTTGGAAAGGACCTTTAAAGATCACCTAGTCCAGCCTGCCTCCACGTTCTTCAAGGCCCTGTGCAGCCTGACTTTGAACACGACTTTTCTGGGCAGCCTGTTCCAGTGTCTCATCACCCTCATCATAAAAAAGTTCAATAAATAACTGAAATCACTTAGAACTGTTATGTATGTCTTCCTTAGAAAATACTGATAGAAGTTAATTTTGTTTTCAGGTTTAGTTTAAGATCCTGATGTGCAGGGTCTTGTTTACTTTTCCAGAAAAATTTGAAGCAAGCCAGAGTGAGGGAAGCAGTAAGTGCTGATGGCTCCAGCAGGCAGGTGAGCCTGCAGCCAAGCGAGGGTGCCAAGAGGGCAGAAGCTGTCGAGCACTGAGGACACTGCAGTCCCACATTACCTGAGCAAGGACAACAGAGCACACCTGGTGACAGTGATCAGGGTCAGCCTGGAGTCCAGTGATAGCCAGACAAGTCCGCAGGGATTATGCAGATCTGAGGCCAGGCTGGGAAGTCCGGTCAGAGGGTTGTGGTCATCAAAGTCCACAGGCATCCCTGCAGGATGCCTTTGCCAAGGACCAAGAATGGAGGCTTTTCCCACAGCTCCTTGCCTGGCCCTGCTGGAGGTGCTCAGGCTGTGCTGTGTTCTGTGCTGGCTGTGGGTACAGACAGCCAAGGGCCTGGGCTGGGGAAGGGGCTGCTGAGACCCCCAGGGCACTTGGGGCCCAACAACCAGGATGGTTGGGTTGTCTCACAAGTCTCGGAACACAGTTCTCTGAGGAGCTCTTGATCTGATCCTTTGACCATGCCTGAGTTCAAGGCTTTGTTTTCTTGTAGCTTGTGTTTTAAAGGCCAATCACTTTCACGGATTTAAGAGTTATTGGGTTTTGTTTTGTTTCGTTTTCTCGAGGGGATCTTTTTACATTATATATTGGAATGAAGTAAATGTTTTGGAGAAAAGCTCAGTTGCAGATGCTGACAAATCTGATTTTGAGACATATTTAACTTCTCTTTCTTCCTTGAGCTTAGGACAGCTTTCTGTTTCACTTTTTTTAGATATAATGCATTTGAACTTTGGCTTTATTTTAAATGAGGTACTCGAACCTTCCTCTGATGTATTCAGTATCTATAGTATTTAGTTAATTCAGTATTATAATTCCTTCTTATGGGATCATCCTCATCTATAGGCAGGAGCATCCTCACTCATCTGTGAGGCTGTGAAAAGTATGTCTTAAATCCAGATGAATGTTTCCCTTTGTTAACTGCAGTTATATTGCAGAAGAACATCCTTAACAAATGGGAAGTCTTGTACTGAAGATACAAAAAAGTAAAATGGTCAACCCAAGTCAGCCTTTAGTTCTGGCAATCTGGACTCTTTTTCCAAAGACCAATTTTACATGTTTTACATGCATTTTACATACATTTCTCTCCAACCTGCAGTTTCTGTTTTGCCATGAATTTATTCTGTATGCCCGTAGTTTTTGGGGTGCTTTATATTGTGGAAAGAAGAACTGGATAAATTGCATATTTGAATTAAGGGACACCCCTCCTGTCACCTAACATGTAAAAAGGCAATAAGATCCTTACTGTTTCCATATTGATCTTAGTACTATAGATCTCTACATATTTTTTTTAAACTTCTTAAGGTTTGCTTCTGAGAGAAATGTGCAATTTTATAAATTTTCCAGAGTCTGTTATGAAAGGGAAATTTAATATACTGAGACTCCCAAATCAAAGGATTACCCCTGTACTAGTTTATTACAGCAA